TGCTCATTTGTGCTACTCTCCCAACTCCGGAATTCAGGCAGATGACATCTTGATAGGCTTCTGACATGAGCACTGGCCTCTCCTAACTGTCCTCATGCATGTATAGCAAACACATCACTGATGAAGCTGTCTCCTCAGCCTCCATACATTATCTTACAGCACCAGAATCTTCCATTTCTTGCCAGTTTTGTCCCCTTCTACATAGTAACCATGTCTGTGACTCTGTTCTACCTATGAGTATTGCTTCAGTCCCTTGAAACACAGACACATAGGATTTCCTCTTTTGGAAGATCTGACTTCTTTGAATAGAGATTTTAAGCTTAAATTCCTTCTGCTTCTTCTATGACAGGACCCTTAGCATTAGCAAAAATCCCTATAGTTGCAAATATCATCCAAGGCTTCTACTTTCCCTCCAAATACTTTAAACTCCAATCCAAAACTGAGTGGCCCATTCAGACCTTTAACAACTTTATCAAGAAGGTTCTACAATCTTCCAACATGCTATTTATAGTCTGTGTCTCTGGAGTCATGTTTTTAGGGAAGATGTGCATGTTTTCTGGGAGTATCCTAGCATCAAATGCCAGGCGGCCCTTCTCAACTTCTTCAACACTATCGGTCTTTTTGCGGACAAGCAGTTCTCATGCAGGTGGGAGCATTCCCTGGGTGGCTTTAGGAATTGCCCAGTCTTGCTTCTGGAGAAGAAATTTGAGGGGCTGTTGCTTCACAGTTCAGAGTTGCCCACACCCACCATGCTGCCCTCTCCTGAAACTTTGCTCTCTGCCTGAGGTAGCCACCTTGCATGAACTCCCTCTGCTCACCCATGGCATTGGGGCTCTCTTTGCACAGCCATTTCCCTGAGAAACTGAGGAGGAGGAGAACCTAAGCTCATTCACAGGCTAACTCTCTCCCGACCACTGCCTATCGTTCACACAATGGTCTGCAGTCTGACCTTGGAAAAGTTACACATGATGGGAAGTTTTGAAGCTTCAATGGTTACTGGAATATGATTCAGGGTTCTTCTGAATTTCTGTTTTGGCTTCAGTTTTCCCAGTGTTCATTCATACTTGGTCTGATTCATACTTGGTTCTGTGCAGTCTCATAACCTCTTCTCTAAGTGCTCAGTTGATCTTGGTCCACTGAGTTCTGACTACTTTCTTACGAGAACACATTTGCCTCTGTTTCAGGGGCTGAATCTTCCTACCTATCTGGACCATTCAGTGATTAGCATCACCAAATGGTATGCCTGACAAACAGAGGATGTACAAGGTCCTGGACAGGCACTGCTTCCACAACAGTTCAGAGATGGTGACAGGAGAGTCTCACACATTTTCTGGCCACATCTCTCAAACCCAAAGACTTTTTCTGAATTACTAAGGAAACCCCTAATCAGGCCACAAAGTCTTGAAGAAGCACTATTTAGTGACCTCCCTTCATCTTAGTCAATGGTGAGACTATTAACCAAATGACTTAGACCTCTGATTTATAAATGAGCATAGTCAACAGTTCCTAATATGGTAATGAAATTAGACGAATGGATGAGTTAGAATTTCCATGACTGAAGGCTAGAAATTTGAGTCTAGCTAAAGATCAGGAAGCGCACATGCTTTGGGGGCTTAGGAAGCTATGTGACAGCTAGCAGAGTAGGGGCCTAGCTTCAGGAAGAACAGGTCTCAGGTCCCTAGAGTATCCTGGTGCATTTTACATGTCTCTGGCCCTGTTTATCTTCCTTCCCTCTTTTTTTTTAATGTAACAACCCTAGGGGATGACTCTAACTAATGTCTCTGCTAAGTCATCTACCCATCCCCTAAGCAATAGGACAAAAAGCCTGGCCAAGATGAAGTCATCCCTTAGGCCAGTGAATCTAACCTCATATCTAGAAGGTTCCTGGGGAACCTGGTAAGGAAGATGGAGAAAAAGAGAAAGATGGAGAGGGAGAGAGAGAAGGTGAGAGAGAGAGAGAGAGAGAGAGAGGGAGAGGGAGAGGGAGAGGGAGAAG